ATTTTGATTTTTATAGCCCACTCTTCGAATGAAAACTATATTTTTAGATTTACAGAGCAACTCACCTTGAGAATTAGCTCTTAAAACCAAAACTGAAAATCCCACAAGGAATAGAGACGCCCAATGGGAAAATGCCATGCCAGAAAGAAATGGATTATTCCTTGGTCACCACGTCTGACTTCTGTTAGAAATATGAGTTCGGGTACGTCTGGCTACGAGTTTAACAAAAAATTAATATATGCAGCGTAACGGGTCTTTTTTTCCAGCTAAACAGTTCAGGAACATCACAATGAAGCATTGTCTCCTGGTGATTCGATAACTAGAATGCGACGGGCCTTATATTCAAAAAAACTCAAATGTTACAATAAACGAACAAACGGTGTTTGATGCATATGTCGTGGCTTGCCGATGAATGACTAGTTACGTTACTTCAGTGTTTACGGAGTAGTAAACTTTTGGAGTTTGTTTGATGTAATTTTGCTTGTTTTGTTTTGACGCGGCAAATACGGGTTTTATGCATCAGTGAATTCATTTAAGATACTCCTGCGAAGGACTTGTATTCCATTATAAGGGGGATTTGAAATAATTTTTTCATGTCCCTGAAACCGCGACAAGCATTTGCGGTACAGGACCCTTTGACCGATGCAGACTTCTCTTGGTTATTGTTTAAATTTCAAATTCAACCGGCGTCATTACAGAAGTCGGGTTTCGGTGGCTATAGAAACGGAGGAGAAATTATAACCCAAAAAGTGGCGCAAACACTTCCAAGCCTTTGTTAGGTGAAAAATACTTGAAAAGCTTTCTCTCTTCGACATTCTATTGTAACCAGCAGAATACGCGTACGTTAACCAAATACACATATGAGATAATTGATTCAAGAAATCTGGGAAGAAAGTACTTGTCTTGTCGTATCAGACGAAACAATACTGAATTTGAATTTTTGACATTATGTGTTGATGACAGCAACCGAAAGATTTAACGCTTCAGTGTCTGCATAACTAACTAATTGTTGTGTCGACCCTCTAAGCTCTTGAGTTCAGTTTCTCATTTAATTCTTGGGTTTTTGTTTGAAGTAAAACACACTCACTGAATATGGCTTTTGATCAGATTCTTTTTAATTGGTTTGTGAATAAATAGACCATAGTTACTTTATCGTTAGATATAATGTCTGCTAATCTGCCCTCTTTATGATACAACAAGACGCCTCAATGCCCCTCGTTCCGCGCCACGAAAGTCCATCGAAACACCCTAACGAGCCCGCCAGCTACCCACAAACGTACAGCTGATGACATCAGAAAAACACCGTAATCATACCAATTCAGGTCTATACACCTATCGGGAACTGCCGGCTTAAACAGTATGGTCTGCGACTGGTTGCGATCCCAAGGTTCCGATTTATTCTTCTAAGTTCTGATAAAAACGGAATCAATAAAATTATGCAATATAACTCACTACAGGACGCAAGCATGCGCAAGGTACCACCGCACAAACACTTTTCCATTGCATGAATTACAATTGAATGTTTTATTGATCTTATTTTAAACAGCACCAAGCTGGCTATTACACCACACCTGGCTATTACAGTTAACAACTAAACATCACACCAGTCGCTGGCATGAAATTTTCGTCCGCCTAATGTGTTCCCATCTAGAATTGGAAACAAACATGTCGGCTTAATCAATGTTTGAGCCTTCTCCTACTACAAAATTTCTGTTTGCCACACGGACCGATGAATACATCGACAAGGCTGAAAACCATTCATAATGCCGACTTATCTTAAATTTACTTTAAATTTTATCACATGTAAACAAATATTACTAACTCTATACCCAGGGAAGACGTTGAGGTGTTACTCAAATATTCCTTTGACAAATGCATGACAACCCAGGCACGATAGCATTTCAAACCAGAACTTTCCATTGATCTTTCCTGCCGATCTCTGATTGAACTCAGACAACAAACGGTGAGGTAATTAGATTTTGGTCTCTGTCAGAATCTTAAAAGACGAACCAATAATACCGTTGGTGTCTAAATTTTTAAGCCACGAATAGCAACAAACTTTAATAAGTGTTGTAAAACAAAAGAAAAGAGTCTTTGAAATGGTAAATACTCTAACAACACCTTATTGGTTCCTTTAAAATTGTTCTCCATTTCTGTTTCCCATCAGTTGTTAACAGCTAGTTATAATAAACGTTTCTACAACTTTCCAAAATACGTAAAAAGCAGAGCACCCTTATTTAAATCATTGTTTCGACAATCCGGCAAGCTGTAAGGATTATGAGTAAATTTGAAAACTAAAGGTTTGATTGGGAAGATAAAAAAAAAAAAAACGTTTAGCTTTCAAAAATAATAGCTAGTAATAATATTCGTTTCTTCACCTTCCCAAAAGACGTAAAAAAAAGCGGAGCACCCTTAAGTAAATCATATTTTTTCGACAAACGGGTAAATTGTGGATTATAAGTAAACTCGAAAACTAAAGGTTTCACTGGGAAGACGGAAAACGTTTAGCTTTCAGGACTACTCAGAATAAACACATTAAGGATAAACTTGAACATGAGATATGCAATCACTGACATTAAGTCAAAAGAAAAATTTGAAGACATTGTTGCTGAAATGGTCAGAGACGGTCTTAATAAAACGAAATCGGAAAGGTTTTGTTTTCAGATATTTCTTCAAAGAAAATAATCAAACCAGATCGTTTAAGTATAATCAAACTGCTTATCTCTGTTCTAAAAAGGTTTATTCGTAGGGAGTATTAACCAGTGCTGATAAGTAATGCAGATCTCAAGCTCGAGTAGCCTTAAAGTATCCCAAGTCCAGTCTTGTTGAAGTCAGTGAGCATGTTTCACTCTTTTCCACCGCTGATAAGCATAGTATAGCCAGCGGGGTGGTCACGTGACTTCTTATAAATCAACACCACTGTCCCCGCCAAGCAAGCAACGCACATTACCAACAGAGTCATCAGGAAGATAGGACTGGAATCTAAGTAGAAGGAAAGTGAAAAATAAGATGGCGCCACATGTGTGATTCCTGAGAGCAAATTTTTATTCAGGTTCCTACTATGAATCAAACTGAGATGTTATATCGCATTTATGAGGAAAGATCTAGCCAAAAAAACAAAGTAAAAACATTTCATTTGAAACATTTGTAATTTACGAAATTTATAAAATATCTGTAATTTACAATGGTTTGAAAATTTTACTCTTTATGTAATTTATCTTAAAGTTTCAGAATTTCACATTTAGCTTACGTACCACTTTTGTTCAGGCTATTCGCACTCTTTTCCTCTCTTCTCTGTCGTGCCAGATGGAGTGGGCCCTGAGACAAAGAGTACACGCCAGACATGTCAGTGTGATCATTCACTTTACGTCTTCTTCGGCCACTTGACGGACATTTCTTTGAGCACTTAGAGCCTGGGTCGATACCATTGCATACAATCACGTGGCAGTGAACGAACACAAATGGATGGTCAGCAATAAACTTGAAGGCTTCCAGGCTAAACCGCTGTGCACTGACTGAAGGCGCAGCATGGTACTTCACAGTAACATCATTTGGGCATCTGACAAACGTTAAACCTTAAATTAGTGCCACATAGAAACACCGTCTCATTTTTTTTGTTTTTTTTTTGCTTATGTTTCAGCCTCATTTTAAGTACGAGATAAAGAACAGTGAGAACGGATTAAAAATTTTGCACATACCCTTTCGTTATAAATTCGTACTTCAAGGAATTCTGCTGGTCCTGCTTAGGCGTGGCATAGCATCGATCTGCTATGATTGACAGCTGCTTGTCACCTGATGTCAATGATGCCTCAAAGAAAAGACGTTTACGCAGCACCACAGCAACAGGGAAATCATCCTTCGTGTAAGGTCTCACGAATCCCTTGTCAGGAAACATGTTCAGAGAAAGTGTAAAGTTCCCTGTGCCTTCATCACTGATCACAAGTTTCTTGTTACTTGGCTTCCAACCAACCGATGATACCACGTCATTCCTGAAATAAAAACAGCTGAACTGTATTTCTATTTCACGCTCACGTGTCACGACATCCTCAGCAGCCAAAGGGATTTCCAAGACTGTGTTGGAGTAAACAATAGCTGTAGGTGTTTGCCTGCGTGTTGTGTTACAGCCAGTCAGGGGTGTCGTTAGAGAGAAGTCAGCGCCTGTTTCTTTAGCTTTGCATGTGGTGTCCAGGAGTCGAAGGTGCTCACGGTCAATACCACGCAGCAGGGACTTGGGAATGATGATTGTCATGTTGTCCCTGTTGCACTGAACATCAACACCAGGAGCTAAAATGATGTAAAGGAAATTAAACGAGAAAAGAAATATTTACTATAGTACTTGAAAATGACGGGAGGCTGTGCTAATGTAGAATAACATTAAATTGTGCGTTAAAAGAGCGACCTGGAAAGGTAGCAATTGTACACACAAATGTATAATCGGTATTAGTGGTATTACTATTATTTTTACGTTTACCATGACATGTCTTGTTATCCAGTGTTAAGCTCAGTTCCAGGTCTGGACATTCACATTTGTAGCCTCCCACAGTATTAACACACTTGTGACTGCAGCCGCCATTTGACACCGTGCACTCGTTAATATCTGAAAAAGCCATTGCCAGCGTTGTTATTATTATTAGCTGTTATTCTCAGTACAGCCTGTAACCTTAAGCACACCTTGGCATGAAACGGATTTAGCACTGTCCGTCCACTGACCATTTGCCCCACACTGCTTATAAGGTGGACCTCGCAGCTGGTAACCCTGCGGGCATGAGAACGAGCAAGTGGTGTTGAATTTCATCTGTGACGTCAGGCAACTGTCTGGGGATGTTTTGAGATGACGTCCAACGCTTAGAACGGAACAGTTAACAGCTGAAAACACAATACGAAATAAACTGACGATTGAGATGCAACTATTTGTTTATGTTAATTTTTATGGATTCCTTCAATTTAAAAATCTGTAAGTTATATACTTTTAGCAAAAATTCCAGTTTTTGGAAAGGCAGAACATGACACCGGTGGTTCATAATTTCAACTCGGCATCCCTTAGCTGAAGCGCAATACAGAATAGACCGACGAGATAATGCTACAGAAATTTATTAACGCTAAAATAATCTTTCATAGACTCCATCAATTTCAAAGTAACTAAAATTCAAGTTTTTGTC